CATTGTATCTTTTGTCAAATAAAAATCACTAATAAAACTATTAGTATCAAAAAATGTCAAAATGTCACTATGACGACATGTCAATGTATGTAATAAGTTATTCAGGTAATGTACCTTACTGTTAATTTTTTTATGAAGATGTCTATTTGTGTAAGGAAAAGCGCACAATACAATCTTATACACATTTAATTGTAATAAATATTCAATTCCTTTAATTACATCCTGCCTATTTAATTGAATACTATTACCAAAAAATAACACAATTGTGGTCATATTGTTCATTTTCGTAGACTTAATTTTATTTATTATTTGTGTAAATGATGCTTCTGGCATGCAGTAGTTTAATAAATCACCCTTAAGATGATACTTCAATATAGACCCAAAGTTACAGCCTATTCTGTCAGAGAACACCATTGTGCTACTCTTAGGGTTACAGTCACTGGCACAAACACCCTGAACTTCATTTTCCAGCACAGTTACAACTGAATTATTATTTGATATATTTGTGTGATTACATGTACAATGCTTAGTCAACGACTCAAAACGGTCAGCATTGTATTTACTGACATCAATCAGATCATCCATTGCTAAAATATGCTCCTGGATTTGTTTCTGAGAGATAATATACTTTGTATTTAAATCATGAAGCGAAGATTCTAAACTATTGATTTTTGAAGTTAGGTAGTCTGTATCAATGTCATATAACTTTTGGCTTTCCACTAACTTATTATTACACTTATTAATGTAATCATGCAATTTTAAATTATTCAAAGTGGTTTTTTTCAATAATTGTCCCTTTTTGCAACGCTTATTTAATATATTCCGATTCTTAATTATAAACTTTTTTAGTTTTAAATATTTTTTAAATTTATTATTACTCAACATACAAATATTACTGTTATAGTTGCCTAATTTAGGTGATGTATCACTAGTAAGGTCAATTACAACAGGATGGGTGCATGGAACTGTAGTAGAAGGAGGCACACAGTCAACACTAATAAGTTCCTCATATAAATTACTAATCTCATTACTTTGTCGAGATTCCAATCTTGTGTCTAGATCATTGATTTTAGAATATGCCTGCTTTAACTCAAGTTCCAATTCAGTGATACGCCTCAAGGCTTGCTCATGAGTGTCACTACATTGATGAAAGCTACTTATTAGTTCTTGAAGCTGATCCCGCTGCTCAATAACTTCCTGATGGCTATTATGAAGTTCTGACAATTCTGATTTTAATTGGGTATTTTTATTTATAATTTTTAAAATTTCATCTTCACTCTCTTCTCTCTCCCTGATCAACTTGTCACTGAGATCTGATGAGGTAACAAACATAAAAAAAAATACAACTGAGAACATTTCTCTTTTCGAAGTCTATTAGAAATTAAAAAAACATTCAGTTTCTATTTTAGATTCAGTGTAACTATGTCCTTAGAAAGGAATCCCTCAATAACTTATTGGATATTTCCTCTATTCATGGCAATATCGTATTTGTTATCTTTGAATTTTGCTTCTGTATTCGGCCGCGTGGGACCGCCTTACTCCAGCATCATAGACGTTTGTAATAGAAAAATTATTAGTACTATTCCTTTTACAATTTGACGATATCGTTTCTATTATTTAGATAATTCGATGTTCCTTTTCGGTTTATATTTTGTACAATGAAATAAAAAATATTTCATGTGTAGGTAGAGTGGTATTTTTATTCGCTTAGGTGTCTTTTGAAATTGAACGTGTTATGTCTATAATTGTCGATTGTGAAACCTATCTTATATGACCACATATTAAGATAAAAAAAATGTGTTAAAATTAGACAAAAAAATTATGATAGTTAAATTGTGTTCTACCATAAAAAAAACCGACTTTAATTATTATAGAATCGATTATTTTGTTTTAAAAACTAAACAATTTTAATATAGTTCCTATGAGACCAACCTGTAACTATATTCTTTCAGATAGAAAAAATATCTAAATCGGTTTACAACTTAGTTATGAGGTAACAAAAAATCAAAAATACAAGAGAATTGAGAACCTTCTTATTTTTGAAGTCGGTTGATAAATAAAAGATGTTCGCGACTATATTGACTACTTAGTTAAAGTCTCGACTGTTTTTGTTATAGTACTTAAGAATTACTACAGTTTGGGTTTTTTTTTTAAAAGAGCATAATAAGGATTCTTAAGGGTCGGTAACGCGCGTGTGACATCGCTGGTGTTGCGGGAGTCTACAGGTATAGTCTGAATGTGAATGTGAATGTGAAAAAGACTCTATTTTCCGCGCTTAGCCTCTCATTTGGGCCGTTGTGCGTATGAGTCGTTGCTAGTACAGCCAACCTAGCTCCGCCCAGAAGCGCAGAAGCGTCCTGGTTTCTTCACAGGCCTCACGGAGCGACCTCACCGTTCCGAGGATTTCTAAACGTTGATGGGCTACAGCCTCACATTCCAGAATTACGTGAGCAGCCGTTTCTTCTGCGTCGAAACAGTCTCGACATAGAGGGCTGTCTGTGGCTCCTATTGTGTATAAATGTTTTTTTAATGGACAATGGCCCGTTATTGTCCCTATCATTATTTTGAGGTTTTTTCTATCTAGATGTAATAAACAGGTATAGCCTGTAAACCCGTTTATCAACAGACTGGCCATATATTTGTTTGCCACCATAGTAGTATAAAAAATAGTAAACACGGTGCTTCAACACCTTGTCGATTTAGGATCTATCCTGTAACGACACTGTAAGAAGGCGATATAAATAAATGATGGATGAACTGACCTGCTTTCTGTCTCATCTAGTACTATTACCGTTCTATTGTAATCTAATAAAGATAAATCTTGCTACCACAAAACGATTTTTTTTTATTTTTTTTTATTTTTTTTATAGAACTTAGAATGGCAAACAAGCTGACGGCCCACCTGATGGAAAGTGGTAACCGTCGCCTATAGACATGAGCAGTACCATGGACATAACAGAGTATACTGTTTCGCCCATGATACCCCCATGCGTTGCCATTCCTGAGGACTCAGGTGTTATTCCTCTGTACCCAGTAAATTCACGCCATATCCCACCCTTCAAATCGAAACACAGCCATGCAAACACAACTGCTTCACGGTTGAAACACGAATGGGACAGAGGATATAGGAACAGCTATGAATATTACAAACTAGGTGTTACCTTGAGAAAGTCTGTATCACTGGTTACTTGATTAGAATTATTTTGTTTAATTCCGCTACCATTAGTAAATATATGAGTGGTAACAATCGAAGATTGACCACTATTATTACTACCAGAAGTTCCACAACCTTCTATATTAGCTATCAGCCTCCGAATGCCATTATGTTCACGCAGGTTTCACGACACGTGTTTCACCTCTAAACGAGGCATCTACAGGCAAATAATTAGATCGCAGCTCTAAATCTAAAGTTACCAGTTCACACCCAAACTGCTAATTAGCTATGGATCTATACATAGTTGCGCTTTTTATCTTAAATTCTTGTTATGATAAGTAGCATCCCAAAATCGCCATTAATTCTATTCTTAGCATTCACTCAGTAACAATACTGTACATTCAAAATGTTGAGTAAATACGAGCTGTGAGCTCTTAGGTCATTTACGATAACTCCTCTGGCGCGCGGTCCAAATATTTGTCTTTATCAAGTTCAGTTTCAATTCACGTGGATAAATATTTAACCGGAGTTTTCTTCATATTATATGTTGTCTCTACTGTTGGTCATAAGGATTTGATACTATTTTTAGCAACTCTTTAGATTTTGGATAAAACATTTCCATATAAATTGAAGTTTACTATGAAATGACACTCTACTCTAAACCTCTTAGAGGTTGGATCAGTGTACTGTATATGGTAAAATATTTCAATAAAATTGCAGAGAAAATTGTAAAATGTCTTTAACTTTTCAAGTTACAAAAATCGAAGAACACTTTTATTTAATATATTTAAAGTTTTATAGTCTTAAGGTTACACTGCATCACGGTATTTTAAAAATTCCATAAGATAAATAGTTAAATAATTTATTTTTATCATTTACAGCAATATTGGTACTTAAAAAAGAAATGAAACAAAACATATACAAAAAAAAAACAAAGCAAAATACGTAAATAAAATTATACAATTTCTCGTGAGTGCATACATATTATATATTGCTAAGTGTCCTACTGATACAAACTGCATTTTTAATAATTGCAAATCATAAGTGATGCATGATACCATATCAAAATGTGATTAGAACAAAGGGAGTTATTATTACTGTACTATGCCTTAATTTTTTTAAATTTTCCTGTCAAGTAGAGAACTATTACTATATTAATAGTGTGAAGGTGACACCCTCTGGCGTGGAGAGTTTCAAGGCCGTAAAAATTATTCACCAATTAAAGAAGAAAGAAGAGAAGGGTCCAGCCCTCCCATATCAGTAAGTCCTCTGTGATGCTATTTATTAAAATATTAAAAACATTGATGTCAGAGATGATTTTAGGGCAAAAGGACTCGTCCCGAGACCCCTATCTGAGCTTTTCTGAACGAAGATTGATACGATTTAAGTAGATATGCACACAAAGACCTCTGTTTGATTTATGAATACAAGTATAGTTGAGTTACATTTTCCTTTTATAAAAGTTCGATGTGTAATATTAAAAGCCCGTAAAAGCAAGATTCGGTGTAAAATTAATAGATAGAATCAGCCGATGAGTTAGTGGAATCTAATTTACTGTTTAAAGACCCCATTGCCAATCAGTAGGAGATATTAGCATATTTATCGCAATGATCAGACAATTTGGGTCTTACAAGGTTTTCTTTTGGGTCCTTTTTATCTTGCACTCGTAATATATTTAGAGGAATGAACTCTAATTGCTTGTTACAAGATTCTAGATATGAGGTGATACATTTTATTTATACTTCAATACCGCGATGTGCTCTTTGTTTAAAATAATTACATCGATATATTTTAGCTAATTTGCTTGTGAACTTTTGTTCACTAAAAAAAGCATTACAAAATTTACCTCCAAGTCTTCAGCATCAGAGCCCCGTATGTGAGACAAAAGCCGACCTCTCGCAACCACACCCTCGCTGTGCACGTAAGAACCGTTGGTCTACCGTACATGACCAGAGTCGTGCAGTATATAAGGAGAGCCCCCAGAACGATTACCCTGAGGAGTGCAGGACTGGCTGCGCGGACCACCTAAAAGAAAAAAAATAGGAATAGAATAATTCAAGAACTATTGGAACTAGTTATAGACATCCTATAACAGATGGTTGTTTTCTGCAAAACCAGATCCAATTTTTAACTAACTTCAAAAAGAGAAGGTTCCAAGCCGGTTTTATTTCTATAATATTTGTAATCTCGTAACTCCTTCAGTAATAAATCAGTTGGAAAAATTGTTTTTGTATCTAAAAGAATATATTCACAGACGGATTCATCAAATCGAAATATCAAATCAGTATTGTAATTTCATTTTGAAATCAAAATAAATAGTTTTATCACAACTGAAGTTAATTGATTTTGATAAAATTTCTATGAGACCAAACTATAAATATTTACCAGAGGATGACTTTGTACAAAAGTGGATTGCTTGGGTGCCTCTGTTCCATTCGTGTTTCTACCGTGAAGCGGTTGTGTTTGCATGGCTGTTTCGGTTTAAAGGGTGGGATATGGCGTGAATTTACAGGGTACAGAGGAATAACACCTGAGTCCTCAGGAATGGCAACGCATGGGGGGTATCATGGGCGAAACGGAATACTCTGTTATGTCCATGGTACTGCTCATGTCTATAGGCGACTGTTACCACTTTCCATCAGGTGGGCCGTCAGCTTGTTTGCCATTCTAAATTGTATAAAAAAAATGTCTTTTTAGATAAAAAAGAATTTTTTAAATCGATTTAGAACTGACCAAACTTTGAGATGACAAATATAAAAATAGAGAAAAAACTACAACCGAATTGAGAACTTCCTTTTTTTCTGAAGTCGGTTGAAAAAAGAAAATACAAAAAAAAATATAGTATCACACCTTTATAACATAGTCTTGTTATTTCGTTATATATAGTATATATATTCGTTATATATAGTTTCGCAGAAAACGATCAGGATAGACGCGAATAGCTAGTTTTAACAAACAATTAGTAATTACAGTTGTCTAAAACAAAAATACCTACTTAACATGTATTATGCAAAATGCGTTAATCTTGGGTATACTAGCCCTTGACTTTAGCTAATAGATGAACAAACAGCTCTGCCTAAGAAGGGTCTAGTTTACGGCTTACGCAGGTCCTATACTACTTGCCCACTCACTCACGAGATTAGACGTTACATACAGCAATGCTTAATCCTTAAAGCTATTGGATTTTGAAACAAATTTCACATGTATTATACATATATTAATTAACATTTGGTTTACCAGGATCAAGTTAAGCTGATATTGTCTTGCGTTAGAATGCGATCATTAAGTATTATTAATTATTTATAATAATTTATTGTCCCGCTTTTTTATGCATTTTAGAATGGTAAACAAGATGACGGTCCATTTGATGGAAAGTGGTAACCGTCGTCTATAACCATCAACAGTACTGTGGACATAACAGAGTATACTGTATTGCCCAGGATACCCTTTATCCGTTTCCATTCCTGAGGACTAACTTGTTATGCTTCTGCATCCTATAACTTTATTGTTATATCCCACCCTTTAAATTGAAACAGAACTGTTTTACAGCAGAAACACGAATGGGACAGGGGTACCCAAGCAAACGTTTTTTGTACAAAATCTCCAGTCAAAAACTTCATAATTTTTAGAGGACTAGAGAAATAATCGATTTGTGCCCCCTAGAATGGTTTGGTTGAAGGGTGGGATATGGCGTGAATTTACTGGGTACGGAGGAATATCACCTGAGTCATCAGGAAGGGCAACGCATAGGGGGTATCACGGGTGAAACAGTATCTGTTATGTCCATGTTACTGCTCATGTCTATAGGCGACAGTTACCACTTTCCATCAGGTGGGCCGTCAGCTTGTGTGCCATTCTAAGTTTTATAAAAAAAAATAGAATCCTTTGTTTGCATCCTCAGTGCATGATCTCTTTCGCAAACCCTTATAACTCAACTAATGTTATCCTAGAGTTACCCCCCCCCCCCAGGTAAAATGGTTTGATTTATATGAAGATAATATTATGACTTATTTAAATAATATTTTATTCTAATGGAAATTGTGTTCAAATAATTATATTTTGAAAAAAATGAAATGTAATTAACAATTATTGTTATACAGATTAAATAATTCTGTAGATCGAAAACATTAATTGATTCTCCAACTTCTAATTATAAATAAATTTCTATATTCATTTGTAAATAATATATGTTTACCATTTACTTGGAAATATTAACTTGTAAAATTGAAGGTTCCTGAATGTGGGATTTCACGGCAATTTAAGAATTTCCTGCTGTCGGCGCAACTGACGTAACTTTCTCCGGTAGTTTTCTATCCAATGGAATGGTGGAAGAATTTTAAAAATATTTTTAAGTCAGATCTCATTAAAAATTGTATAATCTTTCTGTAATAGCATCAGACGCCGGATGTTGATTTATAATGCGAACGATGGCCTACTTCAGTCTTAATGTCTTTTAAAATAGAAAAGTTTTCCAGCTAAATTCTGTACCATTCTGTAACTCCCATTATGTAACAAATTTACTGTAAATAAATTTCATTTCATAATTTCATTTCGATAAAAATAGTCGTCTGGTCATAATTGGAAACTGACTGAGATAGCTATGTATTCGAATTCCGTTGAAGATCTTTGTAATCTTTTGCCAATATATATATATATAGGATATGATTGACAAATAATAACAGATTTATATAAAAATACTCACTCTAACATGTCCATACTTGATTGTAAAGTAAATAATAAATGGAAGGCAGGTTATGACCAAACAGGCGAGCGCGAAGATTGTAGTTCTAACGACCCAGTTGAGAGCGGCAACGCAAGGCGATCCGTCCACACAAGCTTCACAGCCTTCAGCACAGGGCAAACATTCGAACGCATCCGGCAATGAGTAGAGGTTTTTTTGAAGCTGTACAAAAAGATTATTGTGCTGTAACTTAGTGTACTAAAGGATTAAGAATAAAATAGTGCTGCTACATCTCTTCATTCCCAGGACAGTGAAGGAACGAGTATCATATATCGGTATAATAAAAGGAAAAATCGAAATGTAGCTCTATAACGTTGTCCATCAAGAGTGGTAATAGAAGACCGAATTCCTTCCGTAGTTTTATACCCATACCTATATAAGTGCTGAGGCGTTTTTACCTCATTGTGATAAAATCTACAAACACTTTTTGGGCATAAGCCTAGTTGGGCCATATGCTTGTTTAGTTTAGTGAGAGCCCTTGTCAATACACATATATTATTTTTATTCAAAAGAATTAATTTCTTAGAGTAGTTTACTGAAAACCTTTTAATCAGGGCTTTTAAGTAATTATTTCCTGGCAACACGAGTTAGCTATTATTTGCTACTTCTAAGCTTTCAAGTTTGAGATGTCTGAGCTTTAGGTTTCGAGGTATGCCCCAATAAGGTTCAGTTAGTAACATAGGTTATATGTATTGTTTTCGAAAATTATACCTATCCGTGCAAAACCGGGTTGGATCGCTAAAAAGAAATAACTTGAATATATACCAATATATGTTTTTCGTACTCCTCTTCTATTTCGCTACCGTTGTAGTATCTATTGACGGCAGTTGTGTTCGGAAAGTAGAACCCTCTGCGGCACAGGCACCTGTAGGAGCCACGACGGAACCCCAGCCCAGGGACAGGCATGCACTGTGGAAAAACATACCATTTAGATAACAAGCTTTTATTTAACTTACAATGTTTGTGTGTAACTTACAGTGATGGCTGGCTCATCCGTCATACTCGTGAACGGGTGCTGCTTGTAGGGACTGGTCTGCTCTAATCACTATGACTGATTTCCTCTTATTAATTGTTTAACCAGTTGGTTATGTATTCAATATTTTTTCTTTTTAAGTATTTAATTGAATTAGTGCTAATTGGTGGTTTGTATTCACACAATTAAACTTAAAAATGTAAAGCAATAATAAAATTATTTAAAAGAGCAACACGCAAGTTTCTTGCTCGTTCTTCTTGTGATGAGACAGCTTTCCGAACGAGCGGTAGATTAAAAAAAATGTAATGACTTTTCAAAAGTGCTTCAATGTAAGTTTATTTGAATAAATGATTTCTATTCTATTCTATTCTTGTTGTTTAAGTCTAATCTTGCACTTGCATCAATAGGAAACTCTTCTTATCGTCCGATTAAGCCGAATTTTCGCATACGTCTTTAGTTCTGGACACTAAATAATACTCAACATCGTAATGGCTTATGGTGGAAAGATAGGTAGCAGCGTCCCTCTTAAAATATTACCAAAAGCCAAACTGAGGTCGTCAAATCGCCTGCCAAGCGTGACAACTACTGGCAAATCTCCTGGTATTATGATATATATTATTGGTATGGGGGAAGCTATGTTCAGCAGTGGACAGTTAACGGCTGTTACGTACATACATTGTAATATTTTCAAAATGACCGCCATCACAATATGGCGGTTCATGTATTTTCTCAACCCACTTAATATGGGTATCAAATAAAATTGCATAAAGAGTATAAACGATAAAGTTAGTTTACCAGAGGGAGATTTTGTACAAAAGTCTTTGCTTGGGTACTTCTGTCCTATTCGTGATTCAACCGTAAAGCAGTCGTATTTGCATGGCTGTGTTTCGGTTTGAAGGGTGGTGGTGAAGTTTGGGGTATGGTAGTGAATTTACGGGGTACAGAGAAATAACACCTTAGTCCGGGGGAAAGGTATTGTTAGAAATGAGGTGTAATAATCCCATTACTAGCAATATACCCTCTCAGGTCGACCTCTACGCGGTTCCCCCTGGAAACCTACATGGGTATTTTTTGTCGCGGTTCCCCCTGGAAACCTACATGGGTATTTTTTGTCGAATAAACTGACTGACCTGTATTCATTCTCATCTATCATCTTTTACTGGTGTCCCGCCGGTGTATACCGATAGCGTGGACAGGGTTACCATTCCATTATCATTCATTAAAAAAACACCTTAGTTCTCAGGAATGGCAACGCATGGGGGGAAAATCATATCATGGACGAAAATGTATACTCTGTTATGTGCATGGTACTGCTCATGTCTATAGGCGACGGTTACCACTTTCCATCAGGTGGGCCGTCAGCTTGTTTATCATTCTAAGTTGCTTAAAAAAAACAACAAGTCTCTAAAAGGACTTGTTTAACTACATATACGTGTATATTCGTTTATACCGGCGTCTCCGTCTTCATCAGATAAAAGTATTTCATCTCAAATGCTACGTGCATGTCAAGTTACATGACAATTGGTTGAGCCGTTAAAACTTTTGCCATGGAAAAGGCGTAGACTGTTTATCAACCCAGTCACGTGGACGAAATTGTGGGCTTAGCTAAATTGGATATTTATGTGTATATTATATGTATATGTATGTATATTACACGTATATTTTATATTTTATGAGTATTATTTATCATATAGTTTCTATCATTTTTATTTTTTACTACCATTTACCCGCGACTTCGTCCGTGTAACCGGGATATGTTTACTGACCGGGATAAAAAGATACCGAAGGATATTTTGGATATACCTTTTAATAAATTCAAAACTCTTATTAAAAAAAAATATTGAATAAAGCCTATTACACACTAAACGATTACTTGAATGACAAACGTGCATGGTGTTAGTCGATCATGCATGGGCTAAACGACCATATTATTTTGGAGATAGTACTTTTTTTAAAACACAAATATTGTTAGCTGATATTTAAAAGAGTAAGTTTAAGAGGCAGGTAAAATCTCATTGTCTATCTCTCTAATTTGCTTTGAAGTTTACTATGTGATTTACGTTGATCTATTTAGTATTAAATATACTATATATATATATATATATATATATATATATATATATATATATATGTTTATGTATGTTTGTTTATGTATTGTAATCTTATTTTTATATACATGATATTTAGAATATTATGCATTTTGTTTGGTTACTTTTTTGTATTTACTGTGTCTGTCTTACGCCATCTACCTTTCTCTCTGTACTTATCTATTATTTATGCCAAGATGTCTGCAACAGATTGCTTTTTGCAATAAGGCCGCCTTTCGTATATGTACATTCTGTATAAATACTCCTTGTATACATTTCTATTGTTCGCAATAAAGAGTTTATTATTATTAACTTTTTTATACCATTCAAACTAACACTAAGGTGGCCTTTTTTTGAAGAAACACATACTGTAGTCTTTGCGTTTATTTCTGCGTTTTTCTCAATACATAACAATATTCCGAACTGAAAAGTAAAAAGTGAATAAAATTCAGAGAATTTTAAATTTGAAAAATGAATTTTTAAGATTAAGAGAATTCGCATGTGCGCGTGCGAAAAGTGAATTGTAATAGAGTGCTAGTCGTTTATGAATTCAAAATAAATCTAAACATTATGGGAAAAGGGATATAATACACAAAAAAAGAACTAACCTTAAAACTAAAAGGATTGGCAAGATTTTCCTAATTATTGGTGAGCGAAATAACTATTATTTCTGTAATTTAGATGAACAGAAAAATAGCAGTTACATTGAATAATGAGACATCGGCTCCCATACAAACGAGATTTGCAGTCTCCCTCTCATCACTGTCCATTGTTGAACATATGTTAAGCCTCCCGCTTGGAGGGTTTTGCCAATAGTTGTCACTCTTGGCAGGCGGATTGGCAACCGCAGTTAGGCTTTGGAGATGTTTTAAGTGAGACGTTGTTGCCCACTCCTCGCCCTCCTTTCGCCTCTTACGACATCCGGAAAAGAAGGGATAGTCTATTCTATGCCGGAACAGTCTCCCTTTAATAAGACAGTTTTAGTGAATTTGTATTTTTTTTATGGATGATAATGAAATGGCAACCCCACCTGTGCTAACGTTATACGTTGGCGGGGCACCAGTGAGGGATGACAAGTGAGAATGAAAGGGCAGGTCAGTTAGCCCATCGTGATAAATACATATATATAAAATATATATATATATATAAAATATATATATATATATATATATATATATATATATATATATATATATATATATATATATATATATATAGCAAGGCAACAGATTATTTTACAATAATTAATACATTAATAAAATAAATATTACATAAAACAGCATTAAATTTGCACTCCAATACCTGCTCTGCATAACATTCGATATTAGAAACATTAAAAGAATGACGCCTATAAATTTAAAGTAGCAAATTGGCAGCCTTTATGTAACATTGCAAGGATTGTTGGAAAATATCAAGCTCCTTGCATACATTGTTATATTTACTGCACATGCAGATAATTAGATTGTGATACGATATATATATATATATATATATATATATATATATATATATATATATATATATATATATATATATATATATATATCGTATCATCATATACATATGACAACTGCACTCAATTTGGTGCAGTAAGTAATGTCTAATGCCGGAACAAAGATACAGACATGTATACATACAGAAAAATACTGTTTCGACTTCTATTACTCTTATCAATCCATTTTATTATATATTTTTTTAATGCATGATAATGGAATGGTAACCCCACACACGCTATCGGTATACACAGGCGGAGTACCAGTGAAGGATAATAGGTGAGGATGAAGTAGGTCAGTTAGTCCATCGTGACGAATTCAACAAGAATTGTTCACGATGGTTTCCAGAGGGAACCACGTGGAGGTTGACCTAATAAGGCATATTGCTAGCAATGGGGCTGTCAAACTCCATTGCTAACAATTCCTTTCCCCCCATTTTATTATATTAGTAAGATAATATTAAAGAATATTCAAACATTATGTACTTTATTTATCAATATTGATGAAAAAAATTGTTAATAAAATAAATAAATAAATGAGTATACTTTATTTGCATTATACAATATAGGGAATAAGCAAGACAATTAATAAATGTATCGATACAATTGTATATGTACAGTAAGGCGGTCTTATTACTGAGCGCAATCTTTTCAAGACAACCTTAAGGTAATGGACTATTGTTGTACAAGTAGGTACAATAATATTGCATAATTATAGAAATAAAATATTAAAGACAATAAATTGTTCAGTTGGACACCAAGTGTTCCAGTCTTAGTTAAAGTATCTCCATAGAAATGCTTCGAGAAAAACAGGTCAACTTTTTCATACAATTTTGCGTGATAAATAGCTATGGGTGTTTATTTTTATACAACTTAGGTGGCAAACAAGCATACGGCCCACCTGATGGTAAGCGGTTACCGTAGCCTATGAACGCCTGCAATACTAGAGGTATTACGCGCGCGTTGCCGATCCTAAAGAAACCTCTTTACCCCCCTTTTGAAGAACCCCATGGTGTAGTCTCTTGGGAAAACCTCGGCAGGGAGCTCGGCTTAAGTGTTCGTGAGAGAAAACATTTCTGAAATCGCGTTGTACGCGACCATTTAAACTGTAGGGTATGAGGGTGAAGTCCCTGTCGATGGCGAGCCGTACGATGATAATAAGTGGCCGTAGGCATCATATTGAATAATTCCTTTCCTTTATAACTTCTATATTTATTTTGTCTTATAATTTCTGTATCTTTTTAATGCGTAAATACAAATTTTATTTATTGAATAATACGTCAGGATACATTGTATGCGTAAGTATATAGAGCACTAATAAAAAACGAGTCAGCTAATTTGACAATTAGCTGACAAA